TACACGCATGTACGCATACACACGCACATGCACGCGCGCGCACACACACACACACACACATACACACACACACACACACACGCACACACACACGTGCGCGCGCACACACGTACGCGCACATACATACACATGCACACAATATACTTACATTATACATCTACATATACATTTGTACATACACACAAGCACATACTTAGTGATATCTTATAACTAGGTTTCCTAATCTTTGCGCAGCGAGTTATCAGTTTCCGCATGGTATACGAGTTATATCATTCTTCGTGTACGAGTATATCATCAGTATTTCCAGGAACCACAGTGTATATTTGTACTTCTACTCGACCGAGGTCCCAATAATTGTTTCTTAGTTTTTGTAAAAGTTTTAAGGCGCTTGCATCTCAAACAGGTCATTACGTGCCGAAGTTTAGAGATGTCACTTGAGAGTGACATGCAAAGAAAGGAAGTGTGAAATTTAGAGGAGTTATAAGAGACTGACGTACAAAGAAAGGAAGGAGGCAAAATAAGGACGATGGATACAGTATTTTAAAAGAAAGAAAGAGAAAACTAAACCAAAGCACCTGTCGACCACACACATATGTTCCCAAGACATTATTAGCTCGAAATAGCAACAACAAAAAAAGAAAACTTCTCTTAATCTTGCTCTTATTGGAAAATGTGAAAGCAAAAGACGCAGAAGTAGACTAAAAATATATGTATCTTACTTAGAGAACCCTCGTATGGTTATTTAGGAGGTGGGACCTCCGAAATTTACGCCAACTCCGACAAGACCGAGCCAGATGGGGAAATTTGTGTAAAGTGCTTTCGACAAGACTAACAACACACAATACAGAGGAAAGAGAGAGAATGAGAGAGAGAGAGAGAGAGAGAGAGAGAGAGAGAGAGAGAGAGAGAGAGAGAGAGATGAGCAAAGCGATATGAAAGTACAGTCCAAATTCCAAAGAAGCAACCCTTTGTAGAGCAGAAAAGTTATTGCCTTAGACAGGTGTACATTTTTGGACAGCACCATTTTAATAATGGTATATAGTGCGGTCAAAAATTCGTTGTGCAACTTATTCTCAAATGTATTTTAACGGGTGAATCAATGTCAACCTCAGCAGTTTGTATCAATGTGTCTTAACTTAATCATATTCTTCCATAACATTTGAGGCTAGATTTAAAAACTTTTCTTCATAGATTTATATAACATACTACAAATCTCCTTTACTCGGAAAATGGAATTGTCCACAAGTGGTCGACATCGTATTCAAATGGGTTCAAAGAACAAAGTAGGACTACGATGTCCTCTGTTGGAGAAATACATGTAGTGAGTAAGTAGAAGGGACGATGACAAGGCAGGCCTCAGAGAACTCGTCAACAACCTTGAAGACGACACACGGACAGGCGAGGAGTGAGAAGTGGCAGGGAGCGGTTTACTTTGATCTTGTGTGTCAGCTACAGGTATGTGGTCATGTATAAGATAGGTACACTACACATGAACGTAGATATTATACTGATACACATGCACACACA